CCCCAAGATGGCAATTACTCACTCTGCTCAAACCAAGGATTGGAACTACCAACCTGGGCAAAGACAAAAGTTTAAAACAGGGAGGAAGATCTCTACTTATGTATTTTTTAAAATTATATAATGACAAATTACAGATCTTCTATTTATGAAGTATAAAGTGGTGATATTATGATTTTAATACAGTGGTATTGACCAAATTAAGTCAACTGACCATCACCTCAAACATTTTAAGTCTGTGCTGAGAACAGTCAAGATGCACTCTTCTAGTGATACTGAAATATACAGCATTCAGCTCAGTATACTCAGCCAGCTGTGCAAGAAATGAAAAGCTTCCAAAATTCCTTCTAAGGCTCCATACCAATTGCTCATCATCTCCCCACTCACCTGCATGTTAAAAACAGTTTTAACAGAGTTCAGTCAACTGCCAAGGACTAGGTTCCATTTCACTATTGTCTACAACTCAGCACTGTCTTTCATAACTTTCTCTACCTAATTCTATTTTATTACTCTGTGGCTGACAGTTGTGGAGCAGTTTCTTTCATTTACTTTTCCAATTTTTTATGGTTTCCAGTACTCTGCTACTGATTTTAATAGAATAAAAATCTACTATATGTTTGCATTGTGACAACATGACTATACAGAAATGCTCAGGAAATGGAGCCAGTGTGTTAGAATCTAGAAGACCAATCTCCACAGTGGGCTGCAACAGCAATGAGCATCTCCCAACACTACATGTGAAACAACTACAGTAGTATCATTTTTATTTCTACTTTAGCTAGCTCAATCACAATTTCCAAAGGAGAGGAATGTAACTAGAATACTGAATCACACAAAAGGACCAACAGCACCAGCTGCTCCTCTTGTCGACAGAGCACAATGCACGATGATGATGCAGAACCACAGCTTTGAGAGGAACTTTATCATCTGTACCATCCCAAAACTAAACTCCTACAGCAAAGAATTCAAATATCTAAATAAGCTCAATCTGCATATTTAATAGCATGTGACCAGCACAGAACTGTCAGGCTGCACTATCTAAACATCACACATCATTTTGATCATTCATGAGAATTCCGTGAAAAAGCACTGAGTCACATTTCCTTTTACTGCTCATCATTCTTTTTAAAACTATGACACCTTCAATAGTTATGATACTTATATATTTCAAATAAAAACTCATGTGTCTTCTCTACCACTCTCAGGTTTGTGCTACTATGTAAGGAGTAGAAGAAATCATCCCCAAAATTTTGGTGCTTTTAACTGAAAAAATAATAACGATTCTATCCATTACTTGGACAAAGCAGAGCCAGGTTAGTGTTCGGTACCACTAGATCAGGAATAATGAACACATGCAGAAGGAATTTCCCCACATTACATTTAAATGTCAAGAAAATGTGTAATTTATATATGTTTAGAAAAAAAA